ATATGTACATACATACATACATACACACATACACACACACACACACACACACACACACACACACACAAAACTTCCCCTCAAACCATGCCTTACACTTTAAAAAAAATATGTGTGTGTGTTTGTGTGTGTAGGGAATAATTTTCTGGTGTGCCACAGAACAATTGCTGCATTTCATATTCTGCCACAGATCCCCCCACCACAAAAAAAAAGATGGAGGAAGGGAAAAAGCCAAAGCACATTTTGCAAAAGAGAGCAAAGGGCTTTAACCAGTGGGGGAAGAGAGAGAGAGACGCTGGAGACTCACAGAGAGAAACTGAATTGAGGGAAATGCCAGACATCGCCATGCCGCACAGAAAACGCAGGATGCAATAAATGGTAAAGTTGGGCACGAAGGCCGTGCCGGCTCCGGCTACCCCCATCTGCAGGTAGCACCAAATGATCAGAGATTTCCTGCCAAACCTGTAAGAAACAGACATTATGGTCTCATACGTTTCAATCGCCGTCGGATATTTTTGCTTTTACAGGTAGCCTTCCACTTCACGACAGCTTGTTTAATGACAGCTTGTTCAAAGCTACAACGGCGCTCCCAAAAGGGACTTATGATCGTTTTCATCCTTATGACCATTGCATAATGGTCGTGATTGTTTTAAAAAATGGATGTTTGGCAATGGACTGAGTCTGTCGCCCTGCCTCTTATACATGCGAGGGCTCTGCTGTCTCTTATCTGACCGTTCCTGGCCTAGGTCTCTTTGTTCTATCTCCCAAGGTCTTTCCCCACCCCCATATCCTCCATAGTTCTAGATTCCCCCCCTCTTCTTTACAGTTTTAGAAACTAGGGACAGTCTCTCTTGTGAGCCTCTCACCCTGCCTGTTATACATTTGAGGGTTATGCTGTCTCTTATCTGACACTCTCTTTGTTCCTTCTTCCAAGGTCTTCCCCCCATATCCTTTCACACACACTGAACTCTTTCCGTAGATCTAGATTCCACCCACTTCTTTACAGCTTTAGAAACTAGGGGCAGTCTCTCTTGTGAGCCTCTCACCCTGCCTGTTATACATCTGAGGGCTATGCGGACTCTTATTTGACTGTTCCCGAACAAGATCTCTTTGCTCTGACTCCCAATGTCTTCCCATACATCCTTGCACTACATTCTGAAGTTTATATTCTCCCCCTTTTACAGCCTGAGGAACCAGGGAGGGTCCCTTCTGAGCCTCTTTCACCTCGCATTATGCAGCTGAGGTTCTTATCTGGTGTTCCCTTGGCAATGTCTCTTTGCCCACTTCCAAAGGTCTTCCCCACATCCTGTTATGGCATCTCCTTTCTAGCCTGAGAAACTAGGGAGAGTTTCTTTTGAGCCTTTCGCTCTGCCTGTTATACATCTGAGGGTTATGCTGTCTCTTTTTCTGGCAAGAGTCTCTTTGCTCCTTCTCCCAAGGTCTTCTCTACATATCCTTCCACAACCTGACACATTCTGAACTCTTTCTATAGATCTAGATTCTCCTCCCCCCCTTTACAACTTGAGAAACTAGGGAGGGTCCCTTCTGAGTCTCTTTCTGCATCCATTATGCGGCCCAGGGCTCAGCTGTCCCTTATCTGCCCCATCTCTTGTCAGCATCTCTCTGCCTGCTTCCCAAGGCCCAAATGCCATTACACACCCACTCCTAGCCCGAAACATTAACCCCTACACCACGCTGCCCCTCACTGCTCACCTATCCGAGAGATTTCCAATTAGGAACGATCCGATCAACACGCCAGCCATGTAAATGGACTGAGCCATCTGCCTGAGGGACCGAGATTCGCATACTAGATTCCACTGGAAAATAATTTTGGGGAGGGAAGAGAAAACCAAAACCATTGAAAACTTTTGCTAATCTGACGTCCTGCCTGATCATGAAATGTTGCCTGGGGAATTCTGGGAGTTGAAGTCCTCCCATCTTAAAGCAAGCTGGCTGGGGGATTCTGGGAGTTGAAGTCCTCCCATCTTAAAGCAAGCTGGCTGGGGAATTCTGGGAGTTGAAGTCCTCCCATCTTAAAGTGTGCTGGCTGGGGAATTCTGGGAGTTGAAGTCCTCCCATCTTAAAGCAAGCTGGCTGGGGAATTCTGGGAGTTGAAGTCCTCCCATCTTAAAGTGTGCTGGCTGGGGAATTCTGGGAGTTGAAGTCCACCCATCTTAAAGCAAGATGGCTGGAGAATTCTGGGAGTTGAAGTCCACCCATCTTAAAGCAAGATGGCTGGGGAATTCTGGGAGTTGAAGTCCTCCCATCTTAAAGCAAGCTGGCTGGGGAATTCTGGGAGTTGAAGTCCACCCATCTTAAAGTGTGCTGGCTGGGGAATTCTGGGAGTTGAAGTCCACCCAT